CGCCCCCTTCCCGCCTGCAGGGCTTTTTGGGTGGGGGGGGAACCCAGGCTGCCCCCCACGGCCACCCTGGCCCTCGGGCTCCAGGCGCAGCTGCAGTGCCAGATTGGTAAACCCCAGTCCTGCGTGTCGGGTGCCACAACAGCAGGGACAGATGGTGTTTGCATTGCACCGGCTGACTCAAGGAAGAGATTAATCAGCTCTGCAAATCCCCCTGCACAGTGATATTTATAGCCCCCCACCCCGGCCCTCCCTGCACCCCAGGCAGGGCCCAGCGCTCCTCTCCCTGCAACCCTAGCAAAGCCTGGGCACCCTCAGGACCCCAGTGCTGCAGCTCTGAGCCTAGCCGAGGGTGCTGAGTCCAGGCAGAGCCCTGGGGTCTCACCGCCTGGCTCCGCTCCCCTCCCTCCAGTGAACGTCCTGACAGCCGTGGCCTTGTCCCGCCTGGCCACGAGGACCAAGAAGTCATCGTACTGGTACCTGCTGGCCCTGACCACCTCCGACATCCTCACTCAGGTCTTCATCATCTTTGTGGGCTTCATCCTGCAGACAGCCATCCTGGCTCGGGCAGTGCCCAGCGCCCTCATCCACACCGTCAACGTGCTGGAGTTCACAGCCAACCATGCCTCCATCTGGGTCACTGTCCTGCTCACTGCGGACCGCTACGTGGCCCTGTGCCACCCACTGCGGTACCTCACCGTCTCCTACCCCCAGCGCACCCGCAAGATCATCGCGGCTGTCTTTGCTGTGGCTGCAGCCACAGGCATACCCCTCTACTTGGGGGCTGACCCCCCCACTGCCCTGGACAAGGTGCTCAAGTGGGTGCACTGCGTCACCATCTACTTCCTGCCCTGCAGCATCTTCCTGGCCACCAATTCCATCATCATCTTCAAGCTGAAGCAGCGGAGACGCTCAGGGGGCCGCCGGCCCCATGTGAGCAAGACCACGGCCCTCCTCCTGGCTGTCACCACCATCTTCATGGTGCTGTGGGCACCGCGGACAATTGTCATGATCTGCCACCTCTATGTGGCCTCAGTCAAGAAGGACTGGCGCGTGCACCTGGCTTTGGACATTGCCAACATGGTGGCCATGCTCAACACCACCCTCAACTTCTTCCTCTACTGCTTTGTCAGCAAGACCTTCCGCCGCACGGTGGGCGAGGTGCTCCGGACCCACCTCCGGCACGGCCCCCGGCCCAGGAACGGCCCCTTCCGCCCCCAGCCCTGAAGCCACC